AAGATATTTGCTCGGCTTACCCAAGTTCAACTCGTTGCGGTCATGCTATCAAAGAAGGGATTCGTTTCGACTCGACAATGGTAGATCCATCATGTTTTGGAAAGATGTGTGGGCGGGTAGCACAAACCTCAACTCAACTTTTCCAAGTCTATACGGAGTTAGCTACCGAAAAGATTGCAAAATTTCGGATATAGGAGATTGGTGTAGTTCAAGTTGGGTTTGGAAATACCATTGCGGGACGCCTTCGTGATTGGGAGGTTCAAGAAATAGAAAGGTTGCACCATTTAATTTCAACTGTTCACCTAAATCTAGGTGTTGATGATAAAAGGATTTGTGCTTATGACATAAAAGGCTTATTTACTCGTTAAGTCTTGTTCTTCAACTCTAGATTCGATTCTGCCGCATGATGACTCACATATAATCTCTTATGTTTGGAAAGGCTTAGCTCTCCCAAAAGTAGAAGCTTTTGTCCGATTAGCGACTCACCTGCAAGTTACGGACAAGGGATTTTCTTTTTCGTATTGGTCTAGTGGAGTTTTCAGCTAACTTATGTCCTTTTTGTAATGATTATCAAGAATCTATGACTCATCTCCTTCTCTATTGCCATGAGATTTGGCAGTTGTGGTCTAAAATCTTTCGGTGGTGGGGCTATTCATGGATTATGCCTAAATATGTAGATGATCTTTTTCAACGAGTGGAGCTTTTATGTTCATGGGCATATGCGAAGAAATCGTGGTTTCTTATTCTCTATTCAAGCCTATGGTCGATCTAGCTAGTGCGAAATGATCTTATCTTTAATGGTACCACTCCTGATTAGGACAACATTTTTTCTTTGGTTTTTCATAGAGTGGTGCATTAGGCTAGATATATTGATGATCATTTTGTTTATTCTGAAAATGATATGCTTATTAGCTCAAATAAAATCAAAAGATGGATAAATACTTCAAGAACCCGTCGTTTGGGCTCCTCGAATAGAGAGTTCATCCTTTTATTATTAGGTTCTAGTTTTGCTATTTTTAGAAATGTTGTTGTTTAGTTTGTCGTCTTATTTGTACTATCAACTCGTTATTATAGACACTTTCTTGTCGGCTCTTTTCTCTTTTATATATTGATCGATTTTTATCAAAAAAAAAAAAATTAATACCGCATAGTTGGATAGTTATGGTGTGAGTATTCTTTGAAATTCTATCATAAGTATTTTGTTCCTTAAGTACCAAAACTACTATTTTGTTTACCTGCATTTCTAGTTCTCAAATCATTTGGAGATAAGGTGTGTTTATGTGTGTGATTTCATATTACATTTTGATTATATTTCATTAGATTAGCTAAATTTATTTCATTTTCTTTTGTGTGTGCAGTATTAGGTGTTGGTGTTAAAGTGAATGGAATAACCTAAACTAGAAATGGACTCGGAGATGGAACTACCTAATTTGGCTCCATTCGATGCTGAAATAATGGTAATTTTGTAATTTTTAGTGTTTATTGGAGATTTTAAATTCTTGCAACTATGTTTAGAATACGAATCTTTACGTTGGTTGTTAATCTTGATTGTTATTAAATAGAAGAGGTTGTGCTTAAATTAAATGATAGATGAGGATCTATGCATCTATTTGCTCCTAGCTAATTTTGAGTCAATAATTTAGTTGAGATACATAGATATTTGCATATTTGATAAGCTATGATGTCTTTAAGTTGTTATGCTTTTCACAATCGTTTAACTACAAGTTTGGAATGCTTATAAATTTTAATTAATTCATGTCGTCAAGTGTGAGAGATGTTATGAGCGTGCAGGCACATATGGATGCGTTTGAGTTGAATGGAAGATAGGAATTAATCTATGCAGCTATTCCAACTTGTTTGGGATTGATAGATTTAGTTGGTTTGGGAATGTGCACTTTTGATAAGATACATGTCATCTTAATTTACGCACAGTCCTATGTGTAGTCAAGTCGAGAATAATACTTATCCTAATACATCAAATTATGTTTAAATTTCTTTATTTTTCTCAACTAGATTACAAATTTTTGTAGCTTATATATATATATATAACAAGATCATTTCTATCTAATAAATTGATAGGTTTATCTATCATAATTTTTGGTTCTGTACATATTTTTTAACTGTTATGTGTCAATTCATACAAAACTCATTAGCATTTTATACTTTTAAGTGACTATGGGTATTCAAAAAAAAAAAAAAATCAAATTTTGAGTATTGAAATAGATGAATTTACCTATTGAACACTAAAATAGAACAAAATAATCAAATGTTGTAGTTTTCTCGCAATTCATCTATCATTGCATTCCTATTTGTAACTTCAAAATGTCATTTAGGGACTTGAACCTAAAAATTCAGCAAATATCATGTTGTACCTTTTCTTTTATAACCAAGAAAATGAGAACGTTTATAACTGTTAAAAATATTAAAATGAGAGAGAAGAATAATTATTTGGAATAGAAACACCACCCAATCTCCTATGGTTTCCTAGGTCTTTCTACCACTTAGTTTGGAACCAATCCCTTTCATTTCAGGAGACATCCTCTCTTTGGAAATGACAACAAAGTTTTCAATTTGGCTAAATGGTACAAACCTCTTTTAAACTTTAAGACATTTGATTATCAATCTCTCAACTTTTAATTTTAAATTGAACTTTCCCCCAAATATTTTTAATTTGATATTAGATCTTTTTGTTAGACTTTTGTTAATTTTGATGGTGTAAATACATGTGATTGGTTGTGGTTGATTTTTTAACTTCCATTAAAAATATACCAAAACTTATAAATTTTTTGTTTGTTCTCCAAAACTTGTTTTTTCCATTCTAAAATGTTATTTAATTGATAACTTCTTAGCATTTAAGAGAAAACAATCATGTTTTTGATGGAAACGCAAAACATTCTTAAGTTTTAACGTATTTTTAGCTATCTAGAAACTACATTTGCATATTAAAATAAACAACCTAATAAAAGAATTCGCTTGCATCTTAGAATAGGTGAAAACCTAACAAAAAAAACTCAATTTCAAATGAAAAATATTTGAAAGTAAGTCCAATTCCAAATTAAAAATGAAGAAACTGATTTTCAAATGACTTAAAAGTTCATGAAAAATTTGTCCTATTTGATATTTATTTGTCATAATAATTACGGCAATAATAATATTCATCGTGGCATTGCCAAGGCAAAACAATCCCTAGAGATAAATTTTGAAGGTTGGATAAGATAAACACGGATATTCTATACCTAGGATTTGAACCAAATCCCTTTGCTTTCCTTTCTTTTGCAATGACAACAAAGTTTTGAATTGAAATCATTAATGTTGTGCTAATTACAGCACTGGCAATATTAACTGCATATTATCCCTTACATGGTATGCAATTCTAATTTCTATGTGAAGAAACCCAATTGCCAGGTGGTATCAAGAAACCAGCTGATGCCAGAGAGAAACAACACGTGTTTGGGAACCCTAGAAGATAAGAGGAGAAAGAACGGCATCTTTCTCTATATAAACATCTTATTCAGCAAACTCTCAAAATCATCAAAATGGGAGAAACCATAGCCGCCGCCTGTCAGAGGTCAGCTACTTGGAGAGGAGAGTGAAGAAGATGAAGATGTTGACATGAAAAAGCTCATATCAAGTTTCATTCTTCAGATATCTGACATATCAGAAAGAAAAATCCGGGTTAAGGTTTTAACTCTAATTTCTTTATTCTCTCTATGTGTGTTTCAGTGTCTGTTTTAAGTCTCATTGGTGTCTGAATCTTTGACGGTTGGTGTCTTCAGGTTCTGCTGATCCAAGAAATGATGAGAGGAAGCACCTTCATTTTCGATGGGACCAGAATTAAAACTGTATCGGACACAAAGATTGGTCATGGAGCCAGTTATCTTCACGTAGATGTGTTGAAAAACACAAAGATTCTCCCCACGTGTAGTGATTTTGGTTATAAGATTTTTCATGGAGCCAGTTATCTTCACGTAGATGTGTTAAAAAACATCAAGATTCGTCTGAAACTTTGCTAGTTGAAGGTATGTTTCTCTATAACTGTTATCTGCTGTTATCTTTTATCAGTTTTCTCCTTGTAATTCACTTTTGTTTCTTGTTTGTTTCAGATGGAAATGGCTTCAAAACAATTACAGTGGGGCTTGGGTCTGACTTTTTTTTTTTTTTTTTTTGAGGTTTGGGCTTGGGTCTGACGTGATGGAAAGCATGGACAGCCAAACTGCACAAATTCTTCTTGTACAATGCCCATCTCCATTGCTTTGATGCTTGGCCAAGTGCTTGGACATGAAAGTGGGTTAGTTGCCGAATGTAAAGTCTGGTGGAAAAATGAGGGTGAAGAAGATGGTGATTGGTGGTATGGCTAAATTAGAGCAATCAGGCAAAAAAATGACGAGGTTATAGTGCAGAAGGATGAGAAAAAAATAGAAATAAAATAAAATTGCCTGCTGTATAGGATCTTTATAAATGTTTAGATGTAACCAGACAATTAAGTTCATGTAACTCAGTTATTAGATTTTCTTTATTTCCTTTACATCAATACTCATTAAGAAACAAAAATCCTTGCACAAAAACTAGCTACCAAAGTGTTAAGGATATAATCAAGTTGGATATATATATATAAAATTTCCTCTAAAATAAATAAAATCTGTTTGTTTCCATTTCATATATCATTACTAAACGAACCTGCTGCGCAGTTAACAATCCATTCTCACCTATATTTGGGGAAGATTAGCAAATTCTACTTAACCCACAAGGTACCATTTAACTTACCCAAAAAAGATGCATTCATGTTCTTTTAGTATTTTCGTTTTTGTTGAGTTCTATATATGAGTGGTGAATTCCACAACAGTTTAGAAACAAAAAATTTAAAGTGTTTATATATAAGATGAATCTATGATCCATTAGTCTTAATTTTTGGGTTAAAGAGATATTCATTTTTATATGTAAGTTTTTCCAAATGTAGGCTCAAGTGACTCGATCTCCATTATAAATCTTTCTAACAAATGTTATCGAAGTCTCAATGGTTCGACAAGAACAAGTGCAGCATCGTTGATTGAACTCCCATTGTTGTCATCCAATGGTTGAGCAAGTACACTTGGATTGTGAAGAAGCCTCCGTTGGAGAGCGACATGATTGGTTAAACTCTCATTGTTGGCATAAAATGTTTGAGCAAGTGTGATGCCACACTCAGACCATGAAGATGCCTATGAAGTTTGAGGTGACTTATAGGTTTTGGCTTTTTGGGTTAATCTGGTGTTCATCCTTACATAATCATGGTTTGTTGAACTCCCATTATTGCTATCCAATGATTGAGCAAGTGTGATGTTACATTTGAATTGTGAAGACAGATACTTCTTCGAGAGTATCCTAATACCACATGTTCTATCTTTTCAGGATTTGGTTTCTTGACATCACCCACCCATTGAGGTTTCCTTCCTTATTAGCTTTAGTACAAAGGACCTCAATACCATAAAATGTGTGTTAATAATTGCCTAATTAGCACAGCAAGTAATGATGAGAATTGAAAACAAAGATCTAGATTGTACATCTCTATCTTATTCAACCAGAGATACTTTTCCTTTCAAAATTTCTTGGTTTGTTTTTTTGACACCACTTCTTATCTAGGGTTTCCCAAGGCAAACATAGCAAATCTGATTTATTTATTTTCTGTAGTTTTGGATTCTATGCCACTAAAGTAGAGAATGGCCTCGGAATCTTAAATGGCTAAAATCATTGCCTTTTGCATTCAACTATTCGTGCCATAATTTTGAGGATTTTAACGTGGATAAGGAGTACTGGATTAACCGAAACTAGTAGACTAGATCGCCTCAGAATCTGATATATTTATACATTTTTTTAATGAGTGTTCGAACATTTCTCTTCGAAACTCGATTTAAACATATTGAATTAGGCAGTGAAATTGTAATACAAAACAAAGCCGTCTAGTAACAATTGGAGACTTTGAGAGATGGAAATGGATTGAAATTTACGTTAAAATAAAAATAAAAGATGAGTATCTACAAAGCAGTCAGAATAACGTATGTCTACCATTAGTTACATCCTTGCACCATCACAAGACATTCAAGAGTCCGAGTCATTGTATAAATATTTACTCGATCTCCAAGGACTCATTTCCAGCAAATGGTAATAGATAACAAATTTGGTGATTCCAAAATAGTTCCAATTTCACAATTTTCTAAAATAGTCAGTAGCCCTCAACTATCTCAGTTTACTGATCGATTACAAACAGCAGTGCCCAAGATTCCATCACACCATATTCCTTCATGGACCAATTGGGAACCTCTTCAAAGAGAGAGAGAGATTGATTACAATCAATAAATAAATACATCTAATTTCCTTGTAATCATCTTCTGCTTGGTGATAACCAAACCCCCACCTTGGCTAAAGAGGTCTCCAACATGGGGATATCAAAACCCCCCACAGAGAGTCAAAACAATAGCCCATAAATGAGGCTAATAATGTGGAAAAGACATCCTACAATGTCAGAGGAAGATAAATCAGCACAATATTAATTTATCTTCAACTATAGCTGAAAATTCAATGAGAAAATAGAACGAAACCTAACCTGGACTTTTCCTCTTGGTGTATCTCCAATCTGATAACAAAAACTCAACTTGAGCTTCTGTATGTGGCCATCTTCATCTTCCTCATCGGCTTTCCCTTCTTTGAGTAAGGCAACACTAGGAAAAGCGGCAGTTTCCATTTCATCTATTTTGATGATTGTGAGGGTTTGCTGAATAAGATGTTTATATAGAAAGAGACTCCGGTTACATCTCCTCTTTTCCTCTAGGGTTTTTCACACCACGTGTTGTGTCTCTCTAGGATTTGTTTCCTGGATTTTCTTGCTTTGTTTGGAATCAACACATAAGGTATATTGATAAATGCTGGTGCTATAATTAGTAGTGAACTAATGATGCTAATTTAAAACTGATTTGTCATTGCAAAATTCATAATACAAATTGAAAGAATAGAGATTTGGTTCTAATCCAAGGTCTGTGGGTGTCTATCTAATTATCAGACCCTATAGATGATTTTTCCATTCAAATTTTTGTTCTTATCTAATCTTATTTCTAATTTATTTTATCCGGTTAATTAAGTTTATCGACAAACCCTAGATCGAACATGTCACAACTGCAAGGGTTTGGTGAAGATGTTTATATAGAGAAAGATACAGGTTCTTTGTCCTCTAGAGTTAATTTCTAGCACTACATGTTCTTTCTCTCTAGGATTTGGTTTCCGGGATACTACCTGTCAATTACAGTTTCTTGCCTTATTTTGCTTTAGCACACAGAATTTTAAAACCACACATGGTGTGCTAATAAAAATTGCCAGTGCTGTAACTAGAAGAAAACTAATGATGCCAAATCAATTTTTTTTTTTTTTTTTGTCACAGAAAAAAGAAAGATAATGGGCATTGAAAGCAAAGGGATTTGGTTCAAATCTAAAGTCTAGAATGTGGATTTCTATCTTATCCTACAGTAGGTAGGTTTCCCTTCCAAATTCCTATATTGGGTTCAGTTTCTTGTTATCGCCTACTCATAATTTGGGTTTCTTGATGTTTTTTGTCTTAGGACATAAGTTAAAGTTATTAACAAAAAAGTAAGGATGCAGTTGAAATTGCACTGTCATTGCTAAAAGAGAGTGCTAAACTGCTAATACAAGGTGGAGAAAGATCTATTAAGATAGCTGGGTGGTGTTTCCCTTCCAAAGTATTATTGTTATATTATTATAAACTTAAAAAATAAATCATGCAGCATTTTGAGAAGAAACAGAATTCACATGACAAATATTCAAGGCTGTATTCTCATGTGCCCCACATTTGAATATTTCTTAAGCCATGAATTGTCAATATGGATGTCTAATGTATATCACTGATCTGAAGTGAATATTCAATATTTCTTAAGCCATGAATTTGTCTATGGAATATTAGCATTGCAGGTAAACAAGCTAGAACAGCTCATGCAGCCAGTGACTTACTTTACCACATCTACACTTTACAAAATCATTTACAAACAAATTTCTCTAAAACCTCGTCAACTGCAGTGCAGTGTTAATATGGCAGCATTGGCCGATTACGAAAAATGTCTGCATACACTAAGAAAAGAGTGTTAAAAGCTTCCATATATATTCTGAAATGTATAGGACCATAAGGATGATAAACATATATATAACATGAAAGCAAACAAAAAATTGCAACCACATTATGTAAGTTTTGAGAATTATAGAATCTGAACTTCCTTTCAAAACTAACAATTAATAATTCCTTTTAATCATGAAGTCAAACAAACTGAACATCACCAATAGAAAGCTGATTACCCTATGTAAGTTTTGAAAATTCGATAATTTCCTTTGTTTTAAGACTCCAATGTACAACTTCCCTGAAGTGTAACTACTCATTTGATTACGTAAGGAAAAACTGTAAGGACTAGACACAATCCTTTACAAGAATAAGGGAATATTTTTAAATTAAATAAATAAATAATCCACATCTCACTTTCACAGTAATCACTTACAAGAAAATTTTGGTGTATGCTAAGAGTTCTGTCAACCTCTATTCTGTTTCTTTATAACTTTCTAGGATAGAACAATCTCTCCAATGGAAAAAGATTGAAAATAAAAATTCTAGGAGTTTTATTTTTGTTGAAGAACAAGAGGAAAGTAACATGAGTAAGTACATCTAAACACACACCACTTCACAAATAATCTAAAAATGTCCATCCGAAAAAACTGTATTTGAAAAAGCTTTATAAAGAAACAATGGAACAGATGCAGCCGACCTATCTTCATCACTGAACTGAACGTAATTATCCCTTCCCTCAAAGGTATAAAATATCTATCTAAGTTGAAAGGTAGTCAAACATAACAAAAGTTCCAAAATTGCAATCATAATCAGTGGATGGGAATTCCCTCCTTACATTTTGATCTTATTTTGGGTTTCATTTTTTTCAAGGGCCTAGAATGCTAAAAGGTGGTTGGAGAAGAAAACCAAAAAAGGGAGCTGCTGAGTTCTTAATAATCACTAATACTTTATTCATATAAGTGACAAATGAATACTAGCTAGCAGAGAAAAAGAAAGATTTAAACATAATTTAGCACATTAATTAAGACTAGTATTGTATTCCATTTGAACACTTCTAGTAGCGTGCATAGATTAAATCTGCACACAGACCAACGAACTAAATCTATCAATTCCAATGATGTTGGATCCGCTATGTTGATCCTCATCTTTTATTCAATTCAGACGTGTCCATGCACGCTCGTACATGCATGTACACATACTTTTTTATTTTCATTAACTATGGTAAAGATTAACCGATAACATAAAAATTAATATCCATAAGACAATTAAAAGAATCTAAAACTTCTAGTAAGACCGAAAATTACCCTATGGTCAGCATTTGATAGAACCAAATTAAATAGTTCCATCATTGCGTCCATTTCTAGCCCAAGTACAGCAATATCAAATGGACGTGCGGCATTATTCCTCAACTCACTTAAGCACCACCACCTGAAAATACACACACATTAAGAAAAGAAACAAAATTGGTTAAGGCGTTGAAACTTAATTAAAAACATATATAGGATAAATACATAGAAACCGATATAAAACCACGCACAAACAAATGGTTTCCCCAAATGATTAGAGAAATCAAAAGTTAGGCAAAATAGTAGTTCTGATGTAGAGGGAACAAAAGTCTCGTTATTAAGATTTAAGGAATCCTTACGCAATAGCTGTCTCTGCAGAGATCATATCTTCTTTCAGTTTCTGCTCCTGTGAACCATAAATGAATGGATGAGGCAAAGATTATGCAAAGTTTAAGACAGAATTGATGCTTGCACTCATCTGACTACCATGCTAATTGAAACCTCTTTTCTCCTTTCTTAGTGATGATAGTTGTGTCCAACTTTATAATATTATCTTCTGACCTTCTTGCCGTCTTTCTTTCCATTTAGGAAGTTGGTTCTCTGAAGTAGTTATAAAAACACATTGGCAAAAAACTACAAGGAATTTAGGAAATGCAAGAATTAAAGTGGTGCATGAGGGGGAAAAAAACAGAGAGAGGTTCCAGTATCAAAGCAGAATCACAACAAATAGGATGATTACACACTCAGTAGCTGTAAATTGCCTTGACACATTTTTCTTGAGTAGATAAGTTAAGATGGAAACGAAATTTAAAAATAA